ACACACACATACAAAGACACTTTTATACACGTACACACCAATAAATTCAGATTACAAAAATTTGAGTTTTGAATATTTAAAAATCACAGCTTCATCAGAATGTTACAAAACTTGGTGACATTTCTGGCATTGAGTATGTGAACACACAAAAAAATTGAGTTCATGATCCGAGCATGCTAAGTGGTCGTAAAAAAATTTGTCACGATTTTGATCTTCAGTCAAAAATGACCCCCATAGGAAATGAATGGGGAATTGACAAACACAAAAATTCACATTTTTTTTTTTTTTTTTTACATTTTTTTAATAAAAAAATCGTTTTTGAGATTGTTTCAACTATACATTCAAATCCACCAAAAAAAAAAAAAGTTTTCATAGACAACTGGGGAATTCACATAGAGAGCTGTACATGCCATCTAGTGGTTACACCATGATTCTACGCTTTTTCAAAAAAAAAAAAAATTTCTGAAGGCCTAGACTCTATATTAAACTAGAATACTGCATTAAGAGTGAGTTTTTTGAGTTTTGAGTTTTTCATTCCTCTGTTGGTTTTCGGCACTTTCTCTAAAGAATAAGAATCGTCTCCAAAGTATATTTAAGTCGTGATCAAAAATGACTGGTGTTCCTTTGTGGAGCTTAACAGGATTTATGACCAGCAAGCTTTCGGGAAAATTAGGAGTATCATTTTTTTTTAACTAATTTATGTAGTAAAAAAGTTATTAATTAAGTTCATATATACATATATAAAATGGCTGCTCTGGAGAAAACTGTGATGTCATCGTCCAGCTCAGATCTCATATAATGCTGTGAATGCAGGAGGTCAATAATGTTGTTGAATATACTGGGCCGACACTACGCCGCTGTCTGGGTCCATTATTATGAATATATATCCGTTATTACCAGTAACTGCGGCAGATGTTTCCTGACGAGGTCCGACGAATTCATCTTGTCCTCCGACGTCACGGACTGTTTGTACTGCCATTTCTCCTCCACGAACGGCCACTTTCTGTCGGCCGCCTCCTGCAGGAGCGTGTGCAGGTCATCGGGAAACAACCCTGAAGGTCAAAGGTCAAACCTTCTTCAATAGGAATATGTGTCTTTCATGGTTCTGGGCTTTGTTTTGTTAAAGGATGTCAGCAGTCAGTTGGTATTTCACAACGAAGACCAGCCTTTTTAAAATTATTATTCTGCTTTATTATTTTAAACCCCAAATCAAAACAATCTTCGTAAACAGTTATAAGTTATTTGTAATAAAAAAGTAGTAAAAAAGTAGTTTCAGAGTAGCTTCTCCAATATTATAAATAAAAACACCATAAAATATAAAATAGTGACGGCAGTTTCAAAACACTGCTTCATGAAGCTTAACCTTACGAATCTTTTGTTCTGAATCAATGGTTCGGGCGTGTATCAAACTGAGTCACGTGATTTCAGTAAACGAGCTTCATTACGTCAGAACTGTTTCGAAACACTTTGAAATGTCAATGAGGAGTCGCTGAAAACCAGTGAACACGTGTCAGTGGGTTTGATCTGCTCTCTGATCAGCATTATACATCTGAAGACGTTTTAATTAGACATTAGTAAGTCATTACCGCGTGGGTGCGGGAGCGTCACGGTGTCGGTGTCTCCCTGTGGTCCGGTGACTGCGCGCCTCAGACATTCCTGGAGCAACAGCGACACCTCCTGGCCACTCATGCTGTTACACCAGGAAGATACGTCATGCAGCAACAAAATGTCACAATACTGATGTCTAGACCATTCCTGCCACTCAAGAAAACAATAATCATGCTTTGGGAAATATAAATCACTGTTTTATGTTTCAAACGTATTACTTTTAAACCCGTTTAAACTTCAAAACACACGGCCCATGACCGGATAATTTTTCAAAAAAAAAAGGAACGGGTAATAAACAACTGTCTTAGAGCAATAATATGAATGCAGAAATGTTTTTACCTTCAACAAACCCGACCGGTTCAGTCAAACACAAGTCAACACAGATCTATAACTTAACTAACGTTACGCGCTCGTCCAGAAGTCCTCGCCGGTGGAGTGACTTAACGTATTTAGTTAAGTGTTCGTTCTTATTAGTTAATGTTGAGAAGTTAACAATGTGACCGAATGTAACATATATCGGACCCGTTTCATGTTCCTGGAGTTTCCGTGTGACGTTCGGACGCTCAGCCAATCACAGCCCGCACTGGCGACACAAAACTGGACTCAAATAACGCGGATCTAACGCAATATGTACGAGATTAATATTTCTAACGTTACATATGATTAAATATTCATAAAATCCCAAAACTCAGAATTTAAATTTGTTGATATTCGGTGAGCAGAATAATAGGTGTAATATTCATTCTGATCAACAGGTGGCTCCGTGGCGCAATGGATAGCGCATTGGACTTCTAGGCGAATCTAGTGAAGTGATTCAAAGGTTGTGGGTTCGAGTCCCACCGGAGTCGCACTTTTTAATTTATTTGCTGTCCATTAGAGGTCGGTGTGTCCTGATGACTCTTAAAATGAACTACTGTAAATAAATACAATATGCTTAAAATAAAATATGCTTAAAACAACTTTATAACAATAAGTAAAAACATAAAAATGAAAAATCTAAAAATAAAATAAGCTTAAATTAAAATAAAATAGGCTAAACAACAATAAAATTACGCTTAAAACAAAATAAGATAAACATGAAAAATAAGCATAAAATGTAATAAAATAAGGCAAAAAAAATAAATAATTAAAATAAGCAAAAAAAGGAAATAAGCTTAAAATTAAATTACATAAGGTTAAATATATACAGTATATATATATATATGTTATATATTTCATTTAATGAATCAAATTAAATAAATTAACAGGTCAATAAATCGATTATTTATTAATTATGTTGATGATTGTTCATAAATTGTTAATATTTTGACTATTATTATTATTATAGCCAGGTGTACAATATATTAGTCTGCACTGTAAAAAATAAATAAATCATGGGTCTTGTAATTTTCATTGAAAAAATTAAGATGATAATTAAATATATGGTGTACATTTTATTAAGAAAATTGTGGTTCAGTTTTATATAGAAAATATTGAGAACATTTCGTTAATAAAACCAAGAGATTTTTTTCCTAATTTTTTTAAGGAAACATACACAGTTTTGAGGCTTGAATTGAGGAACCGATTAAACTGATAAAATTAAGGAAAATTAATTTTAAGAGAATTAGCTCAATTACACGGTTTTATTTAGAGACACCATTGTTAGTTCCCAGCATGCTTTGCACACGGCTGGTAATGGAGAGGAAATATGGAAATTAAGTGTTATTTTATGTGTTTTTGAGTAAAGAGAAACATCTGTTAATGTTTGATGTTCAGTTATGTTTGACATTTGAAAGAGTTTCTATTATGTTTTGATACCATTGTGCAGAAGAGTATGGATTATAGTAAGGTTGTGAATAACTGCATGTATTGATATTCTGAAACATGTTACTTTGTTTATTGAGCATAAACTCTGTTATAATGCTAGTACAGTAACAAGGATACAGTCTTTAAATAATGCAATATAATTCAGCCAAATATAAACAGGTTGTTTCCATTCACTCAAGTGATGGGAAGTCCAGTTCTTTTCCGCGAACCGGTTCTTTCGGACAGTTCGTTCTAATGAACCGGTTCACCAGTTCTTTTACGTCATCACGTAATGACGTCAATTCTATCATCCCGGCGGATAAAAATACTACAAATTAAAGGCATTTGTAATCATAACTTCAGTTAAATAATAATACACATCGTCATAATCATCTTGGATACGTTTCTTACATTTACATTTTGAAAACGAACCTGCTGCAACCTAGGCGATGTGCTAACGCGGATGTTTTACATGTTTTAAATATATAAAATGCATAAATGGTCTTCATCATTTTATTTGTTATTAAATAAACTTACATTTCGCCGATTCGCCCTCTCATTTAAGTCCTGGGTTCAGCCGCACTACTGCGTGCTCGGTGCTCGTATATCACCACAGGGATCAGCCGGCCGAAAGAAAGTTCTTCTTCACCGTGACGTCGCTGCTATCACGCATGCGCAGTATCTCCAGCTCGTCGGTTCTCCGTATCGAACGTGTCCGAAAGAAACCGTTCTCGGTGCAACAACCAGTTCTCGACTCGAGAACCATATAGCATAGGCCTGTGTGTGCTGAGCTGAAACCTGAATATACAGTCGACAAAACTAAAAAAATCGATGCATGTCTGTCTCCAATATAGCCTTCTGTAGCCTATACAGTAGCCTATACATACATCATGTTTATAATGTGTTAACATAACGAATTAATTCGTTATATTAACACATTATAAACATTTACTAAGCAGTGCACCATTATAACCTTGGCAAGAGTTTACATCAAAGATTTATATTGTTACTTAGAAATTAAATGAGCTGTTCCTGAAAATATTATTTTAGTACAATAATAAATGTTTAGTTTGACAGTTTTAGAATCCAATCGTTAAAATAATACAGTAATTATGTGATAAACATGTTTCCAAAATGTTTTATTTTGTTACACTTACTGATGTTCAACTAAAGACTTGGAAACGTACATTTCGTCCCTCAGAAAAAAATGCACGCATGCTCAGCTCATCAACTCATCAGTTCTTAGTATGTCGAACGTGTCCGAAAGAAACAGTTCTCGGTTCTGTACTGGTTATCCGACCGCTGTACCTGTATGTTCGGTAGTCCACGCATGCGCAGTATCACTTCTCTCAGCACCAACATATTTCTCCGTTCAGTGAACTTTTTGAGTCACTGGAATAAAATGTACTTCTGGATATTGGTTTATTTCGATTCGGAGGGACTGTCAGGCATGTCCGAAAGTGAGTAACTTTAGTAACTTGTGGTTTAGCGCTGACGCAAGACGCGAACTGTTTCGGACGATTCAGTCCGATTTAGTGTACTGGTTCGACCGGTTCACTAAAAAGAACCGGTTCAAAAGAACGATTGGTTCACGAACTGGCCATCAACTTAAAATAAAAAAGCATATTTCACAAAAAATATTAAATCCATTGTATCTTAGACTAAATACTTAAGGGGATTTTACATGATTTATTTAGGTAGTTTCTATGAAAGAAATCAAGCCTTAACTACTCAAAAATAGCATGTGTAATATTGTTACTATATATTTGTTTATATATGCGTGTATCCATGCTTCTCTACATTGTTAAAAGCGCTACATAAATGAAGATGACTTGACAGAGATATTATGACTGAGCTCTGGCTTGAAAGATGTTTCCGTCCGGCTGCTGCCTCCACTGCACGCTCTCCGTCACTCCCTGAGAGATCAGCCTCTGCTGGATCTGAGGACACACACACACTCGTCATCATGTTTTTTGTGAATGTTGTACTTTGTGAATTCATAAAGACGAGTGTCTCTAACCTCCTGGAGGATGGTGGCCTTCACATCAGGATCGTTCACGTCCCGATCCGACCCCAGCTCCAGTCTCAGGACCTGTTTAAACACTACGGCTGTGGGGAAAATACAGTCCGCAAGTTCTCAATGATCACAGATCAGCCACGGCTCTCTCAAAGTAATGGATGGTCCAGTGTCTGAGGCATCGCATGTGTGAAAACACTCCAATCTGATTGGTTGGTGACAGGCCGTGACGTCCGTAAGCACAATACTGCAGTGCCTTAATCCGCTTCTCAGGGAACCACAGTTACAGTTGAGACTGTTTGCCAAGCCTGCATGATGTTCTTCCCGAAAGTTACGTTATGTCCCGTAAGTGCGTCCTCGAAGGAAGACCGTGAGTGTTTAACGGGTTAGTTCACCCAAAAATGAAAATTGTGTCAGTATTTACTCACCCTCATGTTGTTCCAACCCCGTAAGACTTTCGTTCATCTTCGCAACACAAATTAAGATATTTAAGATATTAAGATCGCTCCTGCATACTAGTCCATAGGCTTCTTGAGGGAATGACTCGAAAAGTCATTAAAGACATCGTTAAAATAGTCCAAGTGACTACAGGGGCTCAATCTTAACTTTATCAAACGATGAGAGCAAAAAACAATAAAAATAACGACTTTATTTCAACTATTGGTTTATTTCTCCCTCTGCGCGAGTCAGGTTACTAGTTTAATAGCGTAAGCTTCTGTTATTGTACGTCACACGCATCATCACACACATGACCAGCGTCGGCCAATAGTGAGCCTTCGTGTGACGTAGCTTTACGCAATCACACTACGTTAACTGACTACAGGCCCATGGAGAAGGAAGTGAATAGTTGAAATAAAGTCGTTATTTTTGTTTGTTTTTGCGCACAAAAAGTGTTCTCGTCGTTTGATAAAGTTAAGATTGAGCCCCTGTAGTCACTTGGACTATTTTAACGATGTCTTTAATGACTTTTCGATGCCAGCAAGAGTCATTCCCTCAAGAAGCCTATGGACTAGTATGCAGGAGCGATCTTAATATCTTAAATATCTTAATTTGTGTTGCGAAGATGAACGAAGGTCTTACGGGGTTGGAACAACATGAGGGTGAGTAAATACTGACAGAATTTTCATTTTTGGGTGAACTAACCCTTTAAGGTACCATTTGGGACAAGGCTTTCCTTACCTTCATCAACCAGATCCAGCAAATCGCTCAAGCCTGTGACCAAGGCACGAGAAAGAGCCAAAACTTTCTCAGTAAATACTTGGTGAGCTCGAGCTGTGATCCGCTTATGACTGAACACCCCCCGCTCTGTGCGGGCCTCGAACCGGGTCTCCGGCGTGGGAGTCGGCGCTCTAACAACGAGGCTAAAGACCGCAACCTCTTGAGATCAGAGGAGTGAGGTTTACTCGTACCGCGACACTAGCCATAAACACACACGTCATGTGTCAAACCCCTGGGACACTGTGGCCCAAACTTCCTAAAACGCATGTTGGATTTGACACGATCCTGCCTTTACCATGCGTTAACTATAATAACGCCTCTTGTACTTCCGAGCGCTCTGACTGCCGCCAGCCAATCAGATTGGAGTGTTTTCACACATGCTTCAGACACCGGAAACGCAGTCCGGTTACTGTGATCTATTCACTGTATTGTTCTAGTCATCCAAATGAGTCTTGCTTGCACACATTCAAACCTGCCTAGACCTCAAGCTCGACATAACATGCTATTGGTTTTGGGGAATGTTACTTTAAAAAGTACATGACCTGAAAAATAACATGATCTGGATTTTACTGTCTTTATCTCTATGTGTATGGCTCTGCGTAGCTACACCTCAGACATGGAGAAACACACTCACTCGCATAGCAGAAGAAAGGTTTGGGACTGCTGCACGTCTCATCGACCCACAGTCTGGGATCCTGTAATCGTTGAGCCACACAATCTCCCGATCCATCCGGCTGATAAGGGTCCCAGTTCCTGAAGGAGGACGAGTCGCCGTCGGACCAGCCGAAAACGTCCCGGTAAAGGCCGATATATGGGACTCCTCCTGTAGGAATGAGCTTCTGGATCTGCAGGTTCTCCTCCGGGTTCCTGACGCTGGCCAGATCTGTGTGAAACTGTCTGCAGTAACTCTGAGCTTCCCTCCATGACTTCAGATCATTAACCAAGATGTGTTTCTCTTCATTACTATTCTGACCTAAGAGATACAAAAAGAGACGGGTTGCATTTGCAGGAATCAACTGGTCAGGCATAGGGCTAACAATATCATGGATTCAATTATGTTACAATATTATATTATAATATGTTATTGCCCATAAATACCCAGACAGCAGATCCGAATCTGGGCCGACACTGTTGCTGTCTGGGTAATAGACAGTACGTGATTTCAGAAAAACACTTCAGACAAACATTTTGCCAAAAATACTCCAGCCTACGGGACATACTGATGGGGAAAAGTCAATTGCTGTGTCCCAATTCGCATACTATACGTCCTAAAAAGTATTCAAAAATAGAATTAGTACGTCCCAAATCGTTGTATGTTGAAATTAGTGTTTCAAAGATACCCGGATGGTCTACTTTTTCCGGTCAGAATCCGAAGTGTAGATCGATGCACACTCTAACGGCTGATATTGCCCACAAACCATTGCGCGTTGGACGAGGATTCGGTTAGAACTACAAACACGAGTAAAAAGTGTTAAAAAACTACAGACACGTAGTCGATACGGAGGACGCGCGAGTCCCCGGCCGCGGTTGTGTAGAGAGGTTTAGATAAAGAGCTTTGAGTGATTAATTATCAGTATCTAACCTGACGAAAATGAATTTCTTCAATGTTGTCCACATTATATTGCATTTGCAGCAGCATTGTGAACTTTTGTAACACGTTTAGCCAAAATGCATCATTATATTGAAATTGCAAGGACAGCATGAAAGACCCACAACTGGCAGGTGAACGTGCTCTCCGAAACGGTAGGAAATAAAATTAGATAGAATGGAGGATTTTAACTGTGACGAGATGATTGACAGGGCAGTTTACGGTGACCGGATGCACAGCGCTGTCCGTTAAAGATGACGTGATAGTATGTCCCAAAGCTTGCCTACTCTTTAAGTATGTACTTTTTCCTCACAAAAAGAGTACACTTTTAGGGCGCTTTTAGTATAAGTAAGCGAATTGGGACGCAGCAAATGTCATATTAGCGTTCCCTCACAAATGTTTTACGTTCCAATGAGAAACTTTGCATTTGCCTGTAAATTGTTTGTGTTTCCTCCTGAAACTTTGCATTCGCTCACAAAACTTTTGAGTTATTTGCATTAAAACACAAACATTTTGCGAGTTTACAGTCTTTTAAAATGTCATGTTTACTTCAATGTGTTGCCAACCTGCCATTTTGTACTAGCAATTTATGAGTGGAAATTGTTTCTACACCAACTTTTTTAAATTGCACAAAAAGTTTTTGAGCAAACACACAGTTTCTCAGGGAATGCCCCCCGTCTAATTCCCCCCTCTATAATGACTCTGTAAAATTACCATCTACACAAAAGCATAAACATAAACACAAACACTGCTATAGCAGTGATTAATTACCATTGTAGCAAATGAAGTTCCTTTGCGTCTGACAAGTCGTGTCACGAACGTTCCCCTGATCATCCATTACCGAACAGTATTCACCGGGTGTGTTGGTTGGTTCGCTTCGTCCCCATTGTATATATCCGGTTTTTCCGTCCTTGTAAAAGTCTTGGTCGGCCAGAGACCATTGCCACTGGGATTGACTGGTCTTCTTCAGTCCAATCCAGGCGGATGCAGTGGACGTGAAGTCTTCCAGAGCCAAGAGCTCGTCCACTTCCGCGCGGTCCCGTAGCGTCGCCAGATCGGTGTGAGCGTCGCGGCAGTGTCGCTGAGCCTCGTCGAAGGCTTTGGGTTGATTCACGAAGTAGAAGATTTTGGAGGGATTTAACGTGCCTTGAAAAATATTTAGAATGCATTTAAAATGCAGATGCAAATACAATATATGTATTTCGTGGGTCTCTACTTACTGCATGAGGATGCAACAATACCCTGAGCTACTAAAATAAAGTATAATAGTGTGATATCTCACCGACCTGTAACACGATATATAGCGCAGCTCATGAGGACGAGAAGAAGCATCGGGTCCATCATGGCTCCTGTCAACAGCAAATAATCACCAGTGTTGGGTAAGTTACTCTAAAAAAGTAATTAATTACTAGTTAATTACCTCTTCAACAGTGTAATTAGATTACTGTACTAATTACTCTCTCTAAAAAGTATTTAATTACTTTTAATTACTAATTACTTTCAAAATCCCATATCAATCTCAACCAGCTGAATAATAGAAGGATAGACATGGATCTGTTTTAATTCTTTCAAATAATTGCTATAAAATTGCATGAATTATCCTTAAACTGACCAAGGTGGAGAAGGTTACATTATAAAAACATACTTTTTAACATCAGACAAAACATTTTGATGTTAAACCAGTATTGTTTTAGGTCTGATCTCATGACATTTCACACTTTTGTCAAACATATTTTACAATAATTCATATGAATTTGTACGAGTGCGGTCGTACAATTTAGACACCTCATAAAATGCATACGAATCGCTGTGAGATCGGATTGCTCTATACACAGTATTTACCTCAATTACATCAGAAGTAACTGTAATTAAATTACAGATAAATGAAGAGTAATCCCTTACTTTACATTTTCAAGGGAAAAGTAATTAAATTACAGTAACTAATTACTTAGTAATTAGTTACACCCAACACTGATAATCACAAACTAAGAGCTCAAATAATACTCAAGTAGGCTAAGCTGATTAAACATCTACCAATGAGGTCAGAAAAATAAACGTGTTTCCCTTTGAGTTAAGTTTTTTTTTTTTTTTTGACTCATTCTTTTTAAGCTTAATTTTCATTTCATTTTGCCTCTCCACAGATATTGTATCTTGATTTAACGCTCTGGCGATGTTCGGTGTTTTTGTAATTTTTTACTTCATCGGAATTGTACGAAACTTGAACACACACCAGAAATAAAAATCATGGGCATGATTGGGACAGATTAAATGCTCCTGAAAAAATCACCACACTTGTGTTTCTCGTGGTCAGAAAGGAATGGGAGACAAATTTCATCTGGTGAAAACTTTCGGTACTGCCGCCAAACAACATCTCACTGAAAGATTTCAGATTTTTCAGATAGCATATATATCAAGCTCAAATTTCACTGTAAAAAATATTTTCATGATTTGTAATCATAACATTTTTTCTTTTGTCAAATCAACTTAGATAATTTATGTTGTTCAGATGACATAATATTTGGAGTTTCTGGTGATTAAATTAATCTCCTTCATTGTATTAACTCATTTTTTCAATTTCAAATTTCAATGAACTGAAATTTTTAAGGCAACCAGGTTACTTTTTTTAAAAAATTAAACCAACAATATTTTTTTACAGTGGCCCAAAATTATTAAGTTGTTTTCTAATAATAATAATAATAATTTTACAAAGACAAAAGTTCTCTGAGTTCATGCTTAAAACAAGTACAAATATAGGCCCCAATAGGGTCCAAAAGAGAAACTTAATTCAAAGTGAAAACTAGTTTGTTTTCGATGAAAACTCATAATTTATGACCTTTCTCAAAGACTTCAGTGTCATCTTGATTTACGAATGTTTAGACATTTGCATTCGTCATTTAAATGAATCAATGTAATCATCAGAAGATTTATGAAATATGAAAACAAGCCTTAATAATAGTATTTGTTCTGAGTTACGGTGTGTGGTTTGAAGTGTATTAGGTATCTAAAGCTCAGGAAAAGCTTCTTACCTGTTGTGTTGAACCCTCACAGAGATCTGTCTAAGCGCTCGACCACTAAATCCTTTTTTAATGACAGACTGATTTTCATCAATTTGCTTGAAATATGAAGCCTTTTAGTCAAAACACATTAACGAGGCACGCAATGGAGAATCGGGACATCAGGCAGACGGCTTGGTCTTCAATAAAGTGACTTAAACCAAGAAACATTTGCTCAAGAAGCAAAATTACTTCTTATTTTTGAAAAAAAGTATCAAAATAAAGTGAGTTTGTGCTTAAAACAAGAGCAGATATCTGCCAAATTAATGCAAACCAGGTCAATTTTCTGACTTTGTTCTTGTTTTAAGCATTAGTAAAACAAGACTCAATATTTGTAGTACTTTCGCTCCTCCAGTAAATGTGTCTGGATTTAAGAATATCAAGACATCATCTTATTTAACGTTAATGTGATTAGCCTGATCTGGGAACAGTTTTATGAGAAACTTTATGCTCTCTGAAACACCTGAGATATTAAAGAAATCTACAGTTCTTCAGCAGCGTCCCTCGTTTCTGGTCGGATGAGGACATTTTCATAATATTTGACTAAAGATGATGAACCCGACTGGATCAAGCCAAATGAGACTGATGCTAGATCTTTCCTTAACCCTTAATCCCGTCTGCTTGCATGATTCTTAATGTATTTTTATTTATTTAAATGTCAAATGAAATACCCCAGTCACTTTATTTTAGTGCATTAAAGTTATTATAACTTGAAATGTGAAGTTGAGTTGTATTAAAGGAGTAGTTCACTTTTAAAAAAACTTTTGCGATAATTTACTCACCCCCATGTCACCCAAGATGTCCATGTCTCTCTTTCTTCAGTGGAAAAAGAAATTAAGGTTTTTGATGAAAACATTCCAGGATTTTCTCCATATAATGGACTTCAATGGGGACCAAACGGTTCAAGGTCCAAATGAGAGTTTCAGTGCAAACTGTTCAAAGGGCTTTAAGACGATGAATAAGGGTCTTATCAAGGACTCTTCGAGTCATGACTCGAAAAAAGATTCGTTCATTTTGATGAACGAGTTCGAAAAGGAGAGTCACGAACACGCATCACATAACAGAGCAAGGCGAGCATTTGAGCTTATAAAACTTAAACTGTGTTATTTATTTATTAAATGAGCGATCGTTTCGCTTTATAAGACCCTTATTCATCGTCTTAAAGCCCTTTGAACAGTTTGCACTGAAACTCTCATTTGGACCTTGAACCGTTTGGACCCCATTGAAGTCCATTATATGGAGAAAATGCTGGAATGTTTTCATCAAAAACCTTCATTTCTTTTCGACGGAAGAAAGAAAGACATGGACATCTTGGATGACACGGGGGCGAGTAAATTATCAGCATTTTTTTTTTTTAAGTGAACTACTCCTTTAAGTGACAACTTGGATATTTGAGTTATCTCAAAAAGGTAATTCTGGCAAAAAAATATGTAAGCCAAGCATGATAGCTATAATTGTAATAAGTAAAATAACAACATTCATAAAGTCGAAAGTATCTTTGAGGCAGCAAAGGCAAATATTTAATGCAAGAAACTGAATTGAAACAATGCAAACAGTCACGCTGACAATCATTATGTTATACTTATGTATTGATTTTACAGAGAGGAGTCAGGCTTTTGTTTTTGGGTGTGGCTCGCTCTTAAAAATAAAGGTTTCACATGTAAGTTAACATTATATTAATCTGTCATGTGGCATTATAACTGTGTCGTGCCTTCATGTCAAAACCAACCACATGACAGTTTAATGTATTAACCAATAAGCATTTTCATAAGTTTGATCATATTTACGACAGGTTGTGTTGTCTTAGTAATGTCGAGTCGTTATGACAAAGACATCTCAAACAATGTCATATTTGCATTAAAAATGTCATAACTTAATGACAGTCGTCATAGTCATGCATAAACCCTACTTCATATGCACACCCCTTCAAGTAAAGGGTTCCCATTGAACATTTGAATGATCTTTGAGCCTTTAGTAAGTCCGCGGATGTTAAACCAGTGACGCCAATAAAGACCCCTCATTTGTACGAGTGCACTGTACATTTAATACCAACATGATGATGATATCATAAAACATGTATTGAATTAATTAATTCATACGTTAGCCGACTACATTAATGAACTATTCTTAATTCCAAACACACTAGATAGAAGTATACTCTATTCAAGTGTGTTAATGGTCAAGTCACCTTCCGATGTCTACTATGATAATAGGAAATTAAAGTAACATGTTGTTTTGGTTTTGCAGCAACTCTAGAATAAAGTTCTGAAGTTATAAAAATAAGTTATAATAATAATTCTCCGTTGATGCCTGTTGATTCGGTCTATTGGAAGATCCCTTCACCCGGACGCTCCCGCCAGGTCAGCTTCACATCGGCGGCGATTCCCTGCGCGCGCAGACTCTGCTGGACCTGAGGAGACCGGGTCACCAACCGTACAGTTACTTAGGAGGACTATTGCTGCCTCATGAGGAAACAATTCATCAAAATGACATAAAATAATGGCATACTGAGTCAATTTTTGTACATTTGGAGTGCTGTCAGTACAGACAAAAACAACTAAAATCGGTGTTGCTCGTCTTTTTTAAAATTCGCACCCTGTTGACTTCAGTGGGGCAAGCTCTAAACCTGCTTTTAGTCTCTTAACATCCTTGATTTGTCATTACGAGTGCACAGCCGTGTGAGTGCTGTTAATAAGATAATCTGACTGCAGTAAACGTGAAAGATATTAATAAAAATTATGTTAATTCAGCCAGCTCCAAGTGGACAGAGCCATCTCATTGAAACTCCATTGAGACAAGTGAAGCCCATTTTTGTCGATTTTTTTTTTTAATTAAGACAAACTAATTTGTACGGAGGCGTATTGCATTCACTTGAAGAAAAAAAAAATCTGCTCTGTTTTTCTGAATTAACGAGTTAATTTTTCATGAGAAAATTTTTTTTTGCTCTGTTTTTATGAATTAACGAGTTAATTTTTCATGAGAAAAAAAATTTTGCTCTGTTTTTCTGAATTAACGAGTTAATTTTTCATGAGAACATTTTTTTTTGCTCTGTTTTTCTGAATTAATTAGTTAATTTTTAATGGAATTTTTTTTTGCTCTGTTTTTCTGAATTAATGAAAAACTTTTTTTCTCAAGAAAAACTAACTCATTAATTCAGAAAAACAGAGCAAATTTTTTTCTCATGAAAAATTAACTCATTAATTCAGAAAAACAGAGCAACATTTTTTTTCTCATGAAAAATTAACTCGTTAATTCAGAAAAACAGAGCAAAAACTTTTTTTCTCATGAAAAATTAACTCATTAATTCAGAAAAACAGAGCAAAAACTTTTTTCTCATGAAAAATTAACTCGTTAATTCAGAAAAACAGAGCAAAAAAAATTTTTCTCATGAAAAATTAACTCATTAATTCAGAAAAACAGAGCAAATTTTTTTTCTCATGAAAAATTAACTCGTTAATTCAGAAAAACAGAGTAGATTTTTTTTCTTCAAGTGAATGCAATACGCCTCCGTAAATTTGAATTTGACATTGACAAAAAAAAAAAAAAACAATTACGACAGTCATAATTTCTACTTTTAATTTCATAATTATGATTATTTAATTATTTTGAATTTTCATATCATATAATGTCAAAATGTTGAAATATTTTGACAAAGGCAACGTATTTGATATACTAAGTTGAAACTATGGCACAAGTCATAAAGTCATGACATTAATTAATCATAAAAATGTGAAATTATGACAAAAAGTAAATAATGACAGTCATAAGTACAACTTCTCATCTCATAATTATGAATTAGTCATAATTAATATGTCATATTTTTGAATGTATATACCATAGTTTAAACATTTTGTCATTTATTCACTTTTTCTCATAATTGTGGATACCACATCTGAAATGAGCTGGACGATGACATCACTGTTTTATATAAATATATATAAATCAACTAAATTCATAACTTTCTTACAACAAAAAATGAACCATCACTGAACTGACTCAAGCTGGACTATGACGCTATCTGTGAAGCTGCTTTGATATAAAAAGCGCTGTATAAATGAAGGTGACTTGACTTGACTCACCTTATTTAACACATCCGCTGTGATCGCTCGATCATTGACATTATCTCCTGCTTTCACCTCCAGTCTCAATATCTGTTGCTTCACTCGTGCTATGGAAAGAAGTGACGAAAAAAACAAAACAAATACAAGCAATTACAATCACTTTGAATATTAGATGAGTGTTTTGCCAAATGAACAGGACTGAAAAACATTGTGAATATTGCATTGATTCATTACACCAGTTTAGGGTTTAAGAAATGATGAGAATTAAGTCAGATATTTTCAATTTAAACCTGACTGTGAAATTTTATATTATAAAATTTACTTCCATGCAAAAGTTCAATTTTTACATTTAAATGAAATGATTTGCACCATCATTATAAAAATTTTAATATATGTTGATAAATATCACATATATTAGTGTTCATTTATATTAGTAAAATCGGAATCATTTTCAAACTGCCTTTTTCACAATGCATGAAATGTAAATGTCTACTAGAATTTTTTTTTGGGAAAAAAAAATTTAATAGTTTATATTTAAATACTGAGATACATCTTTTATTTTAGATGAAGATATTTTGGCTTGAAAATGCATAAAGCTAGACAAAGTAACAACAACAAAAATATCATGGTTTAAATAACACTGAACTTGTCTGGCATAAGAAGAAATTGAGTGTTGAGCAGGTCTCGTCATCAATTTGACCGTAATCATCTAAAGCGCCACACTTGTCCTTGCCCATCAAGTTATCCGGCTGTCCTGCCGCCCACGGCAGAGGGGAATACGGGCTTGTGTTGTTCAACCACTTCCACGAGTCCCTGGACAGACCGATCCAGGCACCACTGTGTAGGTGGATCATGTCGGTCAGCTGGAGATTCACGTCACTGTTCGTTACGGCGAACAAGTCTGAGAAGTTTGCTCGGCAGTAACTCTGAGCTTCGTCCCAGGACATCGGCGGGTCCGTAACTAGAACCGGTTGTCCTTCTGTAAAACATCAGAATAACTATTAACTCAACAGGCCAATCTAGTTAGTCTGAGCTAGTGAACGCACACACTTATATTATCGTAATGTTTTGACTTTATTCTCAAAATGTTTCGACTTTAATCTCAAAATGCTCGAATTTTTTTTTTTTTTTTCATGTTGTGGTTCAGGGCTTCCTTAACATGTCTTCTTCTGACTAGTGGAAAGAAAAGAATTTAGAATCTAAAGTACAGAGTTGATCGTTTCGCATCTGGAGATATCAATTACAATATGCATCTTTAAAAAGGCCGATTTCTCCAAATGAGTTTTTCTCAACTTGTGTAATACTGACATACACCAAAACTTAGAGTTTTATTCCCATCTATATTCCGAAGGTTTTTACTGAAGGTTTTGTTTATATATCATTCAACCTGTTTTTTATAACATTTTATTCCTAAAACATGGTGAAATCGTTTTTCTACCGTCTGTTGGCAGTTTTTTCTGATTTATGGAGTGATGAAAAGAGAAATACAAAATCCCTTCTATAAAAAACTATAACTCTAACATGTCAACAAAATTAAACAAGAATTTTGAACCTGGCTTTATCCAATATTCAAATTTCTGTTCTGGAACGGTATGCAATTTTGCGCATAAGTAATAAAATAATGCATAATTTGCATATTTACTTATAAGATGTCAGAAAACTTGCAATACTCGATATTTAAGCTCATTTGATGCTAATCATTTGATACTGAAAACATCTTGTCTTTACTCTTACCACTATTTTGGCAAAAAAAGGGCATTGTCCAATAACAGTCTTCATCCCACCAGTATCCAGTCGACTGCAGAATTACACAATATTGTTTTCCACCCAAATTGTTTGGCTGATCAAAAGCCCAGTTTAAGAAAGTCACATATGTATCTGGAAGAGACCAACGCCAGCTCCTCGCGTCGTCGTACAGTCCGATCCACATGTAAAACTGTAGTTCAGCTCGTAACTTGTTGAGTTCGCTCCACTCTTCATCCGTCTGTACAGTGGCCAGGTCAATGTAGTTCTGTCGACAGTAAACTTGAGCCTCATCCCACGTTTTATACTCTCGGATCAGAGTATATTCACGTGTGCCGCACAGAATCAGTGCGAGAAACCCTGAGTGCGGTTAATACAAAGTTAGTAAAACAATCCAGTTTTGCAATCCAGTAAATCAAACACAAAACACACTCACCTGAGAGCAAAAAGAGATGGATGAATCTTTGCTTCATCGCTGCTGAGATTAGACTGGCCAAAAATCAATGCAGCCTGTATTAAAATATTGTTCGGTCCAGGGGTAAATACACACACCCATGTTCATTTGTGTATTGAAGTCCGGTTTGTCTTTATTCTTTGACGATATGGTTCGTGATGTCAACATTTGCTCAGCTAATGATGCTTATCAAATGCGTTTACACAAATATCAAGGCAGATTTGTTTGCATAGGAAATTGGCTTTTGTTCATGAAAAGCTTTTGTGTTAAATCGGTTTTCACAACGTAATATCTTGTAGAATAAGGATGCCACTTCATGAATTTGATTAAGATAGCGTTTTAACAAAAGAATGCATGTGTAATATTTTTGACTGTTTTACAAAAGGCCTTTCAGCCATGACAATGTTCACAACTTTAGGAACTATCTTAACTTCTGAATTAGTGTGTGTGAAGGTAGGTTCATTTTCCAGTAGCACCCATTCATTTCCAAAATATCCACAAACGATTACTCGTGACAGTCGTAAAACGCTTCAAGTGATTCACGTAATTACGCCATCATTACTCAGCTTCTCCTAAACCAATACCGCAAAGCCATTCGTTTTACTACTTCAAAACTAACGAAGTAATGTATAGTTTTAGTAGCATGCAATTTTTTTAAGCAGTATACTTTTACTGAACACTTTATATATATATATTATACGATCACCATTCTGAGCTCCATCACTGCCCAGATGTCAAAAGTGCACGTTGTAGTCGATAGAGCAGGTGTAAACACACACACACACACACACACACACAGCCATTATTTTAATGTTGAATTGTTTTGCATTTTGAGTGTGAAAGCATTAGGCGATCACGATTTGCTCAACTAATGACACTCAGCCAATGCATTTGCAGAAGTACACAATAATCACTGCACAGATGAAGGGAATCATTTGCATGGAAAGTCTTGTTAGACGCATTTATTCAGAGAACACTTTTGAGTGTATGACCTCTACGCTGATCTAGCCGGTGGACTAACCACTCATGCAGAAGCCATGCAGAGAACAATTCATGAAATACCAATTTCTATGACAGTTATCCACAAAAACATGTGTTGGTGGACAGTTGGTCTTGTCAGCAATGCATTTTAAAAAACTCTCTTTATAGCTTTCACACACTGATTTTTACCTACGTACACTTCTCCGCATGATTTCACTCATAGCACTTGACAGATGCGAACACCAGTGTGCAAAACCCCACTGTAAAATAACCGTGATTTTAATGGTAAAATACTGTAAAAATACTACAGCGCAAAACTGTTAATTGGTAAACAGAAAGTTTCCGTACTATACACGGTAAATAACTGTGATATAATTTTACAGTAAAATACCGTTAAATTTACAGTTTTTTTAACAAATCATTGTATAATTTACAGTGGAAAACTGTAAATTGAGTGACACCCCAGATAGCAAACTGACATTGAATCAACGTGGAAATATGACATCGAAACAACGTTGATCTGACATTGTTTTGCTCATCGAATTAACGTTGAACCAACGTCAGACGCGTCATTCTTTCAAAACTAACGGAAAATCAACTTGAAATCAACGCGTTGTTTCAACGTTATGAAAGCAAACCAATTTTCGATTTTCATTTAGCTTTGAAGAATGCCGCGTCTGACGTTGGTTCAACGTTAATTCGATGAGCAAAATTAACGTTGTTTCGATGTCATGAGAGACGTCGTTTCCACGTTGATTCAACGTCAGTTTGCTGTCTGGGACTTCACATTTTATGCATTTTTGTTGAAATAACTATGGTTCCTCATAGTTTTATTGTTTTTTTTCTAATCAGTTATGTACATTAGTGTTTTATGTTACATGTAATGTTGTTAAATTAATGTTTATTGCATTTTTTTTATTTCATGTGTGTTACGCATGATGGTGCTTGACCAACAGGCAGCCAATGATAACACACACATAAACGGATCACTTCAGTCCATCATAAAAGTTCATCTCCATATTTAAAACTTTATCGAGCTTTTGGCAGATGTCCATATGGATTTAATTACGCCAAAAGAGTAACACTTGAGCTTGAAGCACAGCGCAATGACGAACGTGGTTGCCCCACTGTAAAAAAATATTGTTGGTTTAACTTAGACAAGTAAGTAACCTGGTTTCCGTAAAATTTTAAGTTGATTGAACTGGAAAAAGTGAGTTAATACAATGAAGGAGATTAATTTAATCATCAGAAACTCAAAATAATAAGTTGTCTCAACTAAATAAATTATTATAAAGTAACAAATCTCGAAAATATTTTTTTACAGTGCAGGACAGGATTGTGACATTTACAATAAATTGCGTTTTTTTTTAATGAAACACAAGAGCTGTTAGTTTTGAGTGACGTGTGTAATGTAGAGAACTGAGTTCTGCAAAAAGTTTATTTTACACGTTTGCAATGCTTATAAAGTGCTTGAAGTTCTACAGACTTGCACTGGCTCTCAATCAGCAAATACGTTCACCTTCACTGGTTCTTATTTGTATAATGGTGATAAATGTTATAGAAATAAAACTCTTTTCTTAAGCAAAAGGCAGGGAAATGATCCTCAAGTGCTCATGCAAAGTTAATGTGTTCAATGCACTCATGAACTCATCATCGGTGCCCACAAACTAAGAATGTGTCCTATATGTGTGTGTGTGTGTGCTGTTCGACACTGAAGCGTGTGGATTTAAATGACAATAAAACAGACTGTGTGTGTTCTTGACCTCGGGATGAACAGAAGTAGCGATGATTGAGTGACGTTCATGTCGAAAGAGAATGAAATGTAGGGCGGGGTCTTGGTTCTATATACCAGCTGTTGATTGGATGTTGAGATGTGGGCGTGGCTCAACAGAGGCGGATCTGAACGCAAGCTAGCAATCGACTGTGGGCGGGGTCTAAGCAGACTAAATTATTGGAGGTTATTTTTTTTTAAAGAAACATGCACAATAAGACCAATAATATGCATTTACTGGGTTTCCATGATCAGATTCATAGCGCGCTGATTATACAACAAGAACATGAATCACTTGCTTGTCTAATAGTCCACATTAATTAAAGAAAAATGACTTTAAAAACCCCTCTAGACCAATTTCTATTGGTATTGAAAGTCCAGGTAAACTCCATGCTGGTCATAAATTAAATTGAAATGATCTGGATTCTGGTTTATCTGATTGCAAACGTTATGCCTGATAATGATTATGGTTTTAAAAACTAAAACTCGCTGAGTAGTGTCTTATTTTGTCTTGGCCAAGAAAACACTCTTGTAAAAAAGTTTTTATTTTTCTGGTAAAATACAGGTTAATGATAATTAAATAAATCGATACATTTGTGAACTTTTTCTACATAAATAGAGGTAAATGAAGCAATAAGGGTAAATACATTCATTCTGTCGTAACTTTTGTGAGTTAAGTAATCAGATTACTTTTTCAAGGTAACGAGTAAAGCATTACTTTTAAATTTACAACAAAATATATTATTTCCATTTTAATGTACATACATATAAACATTTAATTTGTGATATACCTGTTTTATAGTTTTTAACTTGTGATTTTACCATCTATTTTCATGATTTTTTAAATTACGTCTGTAATTCTTCCACACACACACACTGTCATTATCCCTGTCTTGTGTTCCACTTGTCGTGTGTGTATTTTGTCATTTCCTGTCCTGTGTTAAGTCTTGTAGTCCGATGTAGTTTTTCATGATTGGTATATAAATGTAATGAATTATTAATATTATCGAGACGAAACGTTTGAATGCCGTCTGTTTTCTATTGTCATGCTCTCTGATGCGATTTGAATAAAGAGCCTTATATTGCAGTAATCAGTCTCAGTGTTGTACATACACAACTAAGGTTTTGCATAACGTAATAAAGAGCTATTTAAAGGCAAGTAAAAAAGATTTTGTGAGCAGAAACTTCAGCCTTCAGTTGTCAAAAGCAGGTGAAGTTGGTATTTTTCCCATTCCCACATTATCATGATTTCCAGTGCGATGGTCTTGTGATGTTTTCAATAGTCTTGGATTTGATCTTGAAAGAATCTGACTGAGGAAACGTTAAAAACTATCCAGCATTTTGTGTTGTGGTCGTTTCTTTCTTTCAGTGAACAGACCCAAGATGCCGCTGTGGAGGATCGGGCTGGTTCTGGTGCTGGGTGAGTGTTAGTGTGGGAATATATTCTCAGATCAACATACCAGAGCTGATTTTCCTGCTGTTCCCATCGACAGGAGCGCTCTCGAAGACCTTGTGCGACCCGTATGACTTTGTTCTGATCAAAGAGCTGAAGACCTGGCCGGATTCGCAGTCGTACTGCCGAGAGAATCACCTGGATCTGGCTACGGTTCAGAGCGACGCAGACCGAGAGAGACTGAAGAAAGCAGCAGACGCTGCCAACTTTGGCTCTTTTGCCTGGATTGGCTTCTACAACGGCGTCCCCACTTGGCATTGGTCTTATCTAAATGAGGAAATCAGTTTTAAAAAGTGGGCTTCCAACGAGCCGGACACGTACCGCACGCACGAGGCCTGTGCGTTTGTCAACGCATACAAAAGTTGGGGCGATACAAGCTGCCTTGAAGAAAAATACTTTTTTTGCCAAACTGGTAAGAAACAATGCAACACAATCACTGACAATCTGGATGTCTGCTTATATTCTTGTGCAAACTCATAATATTCATCTCAATACGTGTTTAATCCTTATAATGAGAAGCAAAACTGCAACTCTTATTTTGGCATAAATAAGTTCAAATCTTCCACTTGTGTATGCTTTAGCGGCCTGATCTTGTTTTCCAGCGAAAACATCCTTAAGATACAATCAGTACAAGCAAAATTGCATTGGATTTTAACACTTGCTTTCATAGGAAATCTTAAAGTTTACCATTTTATGCTTGAAATCAAAAATATCTGCCAGTGCAACAGTTCGAAACCTACTCATGCAAAGCTCGTACAAACAAACGGCAACATGAAGCGGTGGCTTGTCATTTCACATAAGTAGGAATGCACCGATATGAACATTTTGGTCGAAACCGATAAACCGATAATAACCGATAATTCTTTATATTTGAAAGCCGATAATCGATACATTGGCTGATAAATCTGAATCGAGAGCCTGATTACAAAAAACAAAAGTCTCACAATCAAAATCCATTTCCCAAACACACAATTACAATGTTGTCACGCTCATTTTATGTAGCCGATATGACAGACGTGCACTACTTTACTGTATTTTCCTGTTTTTAAATGATTTCAATCATATCAAGTTGAACAGTCACATCTGAAGACTCTCAGCTGAAGGAAATAGGGCATTATTTATCAGCTTTAACATGTTCTTATCGATAACGATAACATTGCGAATGAACATATATCGGCCGGTACCGATATGGTGGCCGATATATCGGGCATTCATAATTTAAAGCTTTGAAAAAACATTCAGCATTCACTTTTATTCGAAACGACTCTTCTTGTTTGTTTTAAAAAACCAGACCACTAAACACTAATCACACACACACACAATTCCAGCTATTATTTTGAGGATGAGTTTTAGATCGTGTTTTATCACACTCTTTCCTCAGATTGTCAAATATGTTTCAATGTCCTGAACACACATCCTGATTTTACTTTATACTTTATTAGTCCCATTGCTGGGAAATTTGTCTTGGACAACGTGCAAAGTCCGTACACATAAACAACATAAATTAAAAGCGAATAACAATTAATTGTTCTCCTTACAGACCAGAGCACAATCGCAGACAAGTTTAAGTACATCCAAATGAACATGACGTGGCGTGACGCTCGATTTTACTGCAGAACCAACTTTGTAGACATAGCCACGATCACAGACGACACGGACAACAAGGCCCTCGCAGGCATTCTTGTTCAACACAGCGGTCTGGACGCCTGGATCGGCTTGTCCAAGAACTTGTGGCTCTGGTCGGATCAGACAAACGTGTCGTGGTCTTCGGTCCGATGGCAGACTGGACAGCCCGATAACGTCGGCGGCCTGGAGGCGTGTGCGAGTGCCGGGACTGAAGGACAGATGGCGGACGTCACCTGCTCGACTTCTCAGTTCTTCTACTGTAAAACCCGTGAGCTCCTGTGACTCTCATGTGTGGACGCAGTACAGCATCTGTATGCGGTGTCGATTATTAATTACAATAATATGTGTTTGTTTCTCTTAGCTGAAATCAGGAAAATTAAGCTAGTCAGAGTCGCAGTGAAATCAGCGGGACATCTGGACGAATCTGCCGTGATGGCGGCCGTCGAAAC